CGCTGGGCCGAACGCGCGCCCACCCGAGACGACAACATTTCGTAAGCCGCGTGGTCGCACACAATGAGCCGGAGGGAGGAAGGAAGGAAGGAGTGAACGAGAGGAGAGGAAAAACAAACACGGGAGAGAGCGAGAGAGAGCAAGGCCACTTTCTCTCCGAGCCCCCACAGGCAGCGTGGAGCCGACAAGCTGCATTCAAACGGCTTGACGGCGGGAGGCGGGCGCTTACACGACCCCGAAGCACACAACCGCCCTCCTGCCTGCAAAACACGAGGGTCAGCGACCCAATGGGCGCGATCTAACTGCTCGCTCGCTCGCTCTCGGACACAAGCACAGCCTTGAATGAGGAGACTCCACTCTCCTCGCCACCATCCGCCCCCCGGGCCACGTCCGTGCCACCAGAGAACCTGTAGGAGTGAGCGCTCCAGCCTGACCCGCGAACCTCGTCCCCGAAGCCCCGGCGGGCGGGATCGAGCCCCGAACGAGCCCGGATCGACTCCGGAAGGCACGTGTACCGCCCGTGCCGTCTCTTCTTCCCGGGCGGGCAGAGAGCGCCGGGCGCTCCCGAGGGTCAAAGGCGCCCCCACCCTGCCCCCGGGGGGCGCGCGGAAGAAGCGCCCGTCGTGGCCCCGAGCCGCTCGCTGCTCCTGGCGCCGCTGGCGAGGCGAGAGTGGCGCTAAGAGCATGCGTGTGGGAGAGCGAGGCATCTGATTTCGGGGAGGGAGGGGGAGCGAGGGAGGGAGAGAGGGAGGGAGGCGGGAGGAAGCCTCCTCAGGCACTCGGAGAGGCGGAGCTCAGAGATGCGCTGCTCCCGGCAACGGAGGAGGAGAGTCGGAGCTTTGTCGGGGCTGAGGCTCTTCAGGAACCCCGCGCGGACTGGACTGCCCGTGTGTTTTGGGGGGCGGGGGCGGAGTACGGATTCCCGCCCCGAACCACCCTTCCCCTGCTCAACCACCGGCGCCATTAGCAGGGCGGGGAGGCAATGGAGTTCCCTTCTCTTCCTCGCATCCTCCATTCCCGTTTTTCTCCCCGCATTTCCCCTCCCCCCCCCGAGTCGAAACCAGAGACCTTCAGATGAGAAAGTGCGTGGATCGTCCAACAAACCCGTCCATTCTCTTCCCAAAAGGCCAGCTTTCTCTGTCTGGCAGCAAAAACTTGAGGCGAAGTTTTGAACACTAAGAGTGAACCTTTGGGATTAAGAGTCTCGTCATTGGTCATATTGGTTGAGACTGTCGGGAGCTGAGGAAGCCCAAAACATCTGGACAGCCAGATGGCAGCCAGTGTAGAGACCTGAGTTCAGATTCTGGAGACTTTGGTTCAGATACCTCTTGGGCCATGGCAATTCCCTGAGGATGGCAATGGTAAACCACACCTTGAATATCCTGCATACTTTCAAAGCCCTATCAGGGCCTGTTAGCTGGATAGCTCAATGGTTTAGGTACCTAGCTGCAGAGGCAGAAATTGGGAGTTTGATTCCCGACTGTTTTCTCCTGGGAGAAGAGTCAGCCTGTGTGGCCTTGGGCAAACTGCACAATCACTGGACAGGCTACTTCTGAGCATGCTTCTCCCTTGAATTGTACAGGTTTGAGCAGCATAGTTTTTGGCTATACCTGGATTTTTTTCAATAAATGGGTGATGAGGTATGCTGAACGCTTTATCATAAACTCATCTGTCTCTCTGTGTGTGAATCAATTGTTATGTGTTGTGGTTATGTTTGAGGGGGGGATAGAGTTATACATGGATTTTGAACTACATGGGGGTCCAGTGCCCCTGGCCCCAGCGTTGTTGAAGGAAGAAGTGCATTCCCTACCTGGAAAATCCTGAAAAGGGTTGCCGTAAGTCTGAATTGACTTATGGCACATTGTTGATATTATTGTAAGTCAGAAGTGACTAGGCAGCACATAGCAACAACAAAAGCACCTGGATGACCTAAGGCTCTCTTGTTATGTGCCAGTCAAGTGAGAACTGAGTTTGCTGTTGTTTAGTCCTTTAGTCGTGTCATACTCTTCATGACCCCATGGACCAGAGCACACCAGGCTCTCCTGTCTTCCACTGTCTCCCGGAGTTTGGTCAAATTCATGCTGGTAGCTTTGATGACACTGTCCAGCCATCTCGTCCTCTGTCATCCCCTTCTCCTCTTGCCTTCACTCTTGCGAAACGTCAGGGCCTTTTCCAGGGAGTCTTCTCTTCTCATGCGATGGCCAAAGTATTGGAGCCTCAGCTTCAGGATCTGTCCTTCCAGTGAGCACTCAGGGTTGATTTCCTTCAAAATAGATAGGTTTGTTCTCTTTGCAGTCCAGGGGACTCTCAAGAGCCTCCTCCAGAACCACAATTCAGAAGTATATATTCTTTGCCAGTCAGCCTTCTTTATGGTCCAGCTCTCACTTCCATACATCACTACAGGAGAACTGAGTTACAGTGACCATAATAGGGTTTTCAAGTTAAATGAGGTATTTAAGGAGTAGTTTTACCAGTTCCACCTCTTCCCATGGCAGGGCCTGGGAATCCAGTCTAGGTCTCCTGAGCCCCTGCATCAGTCACTCTCTCACTACACCACCCCTAGGTACTGAAGGTACTCTACCCCTGCTTTAAATGGTTACATCAGGAGAAGACTTCAAAACTGAAGCCTAGGGCTCCACTCAGCAGAATGAGCTGCTGAGCTGTTTTAGGGCATTTTGAGGCAAGAGAAGTAGTGCACATTACAGGCAGGGCAGGAGTGGGGTGCAAGAGATAATAAAGTCTAGACCAACTTTTTTCAAGCTATGAGCCCCTTTTATAGTAGCCAAGTGACCCACCACCCCATTTGCACAAAAAGGCATTTTAATGGGATAAAGAAAACACATTAAAAATATTTTTTCCAGAACAGAATTCTAAATGAATATCTAATGCAATGGTTGTACTTCCATTTTGGCGATCAGCTTCAACATTCACAGCTGATGTTTATTAAAGCCACTTATCCGCCTGACTCCCCTTCCCCCCCCCACAGACACAGTCTCTTAAACAGGCTCCGGGAGCTGGAGGTAATGAGAGTGGGTTAAAATTGGGTGAGTTTTCCCTCAGGAAGGAAACTGATACCCTTTTTGTCCCTCCTTCAAACAGTGGCTCTGCCACCTCCTCTTCCTCAGGCGTCCTCTCTAAGATGGCAGCAAGAGCACGTGGCTGAGTTGAGGAGGGGGGAAAATTGCTTCAGTGGTGGTGGCGGCAGCAGCAGTAGCTTTTTCCTCTCACCATTCCCACCATTTCTCCCACTCCCCTTGCTGCCTGCTGCAGCCTCCTCACCTCTCAACCCCCACTTCAGCTGGCCTGGCTTGCAGAGGCTGCAGCTTGTCTCCATTCCATTCCAGTCCACTGCCCAGCTCAGCCAACCACCAGAGCCAGAGAGGAGGCATCACCACCAGAGAAGAAGAACACACAGCCAGGAGAATGAAGAGAGCTGGGGGAGGCGGTTTGGAAGTGAGGGAGGGTGTTGGGTGTGTTTGGAAGGGGACCTGGGGGGGGACTGCGAATCAAAGCCAGCATGTCCCCCTCCTCTGAAAACTGTGCTGACTCCTCTCCTGAGAAAGTACTTCACAGTTCTCTGTGAAAGTCCTTTAGTAAGAGAACTAAAAAGTAAAAAGTTACTTTTTAGTCCTCTTACTAAAAAGTCAGCCACAGTGAACCCAGCTCCTGGCTTGCCCATTTTGCTTCCTGTTAATTCCAATGAAGAATTATATGAACTCACTATTTTGTAACACATTGCCTGGTTTTAATAAAAGTCTTGCTTCACTGGAGATCTTGACATTTTTCTCTCAGATCAACATGCATTGGCTGTAAATCTTTTAGTCTTTAAGATGTCCCAAGTCTCTGTTTTTCTTTTTCTATTCTTCTCAGCCATCTTTGCCCACCTGCTTCTGTTATTTACGCAGCATAAGCTACCCCTTCCATGTTCTACATGCAGGACCTAGTAAGACTGGTGCTGTATAAATCCTAAATAATGACAGCCCCATATGATCAGCTACAGAAAGGCAAAGGGGAGATTTTAGAACTGAAAGATGATCAGCATCATAAGTTCCCAAGGTAATCCACCAACTATGTGCAAAAAAAGTACTTATGCCTTTGCTTTTAATATAATATGATCTACCTATACATTTCCATCCTTGCATTCATGCTTGCTTGCTTGCTTGTTTATTTAAAGACTGCTCCTCACAGTAGAACAGGTATATCATCCAGTATTCTATTCCCACAGTGGCTAACAAGATTTCTACAGGGAGGTCAAAAAGAGAACAGTAGTATAATAGCATACTCCTGATATTGAAATATATACCTCCACTCATACTAGAGGCAATGTAAAACCCTTGTAATTAGCAGCCATTTATAGCTTTGTCCTCCCACCTAATTTTCATCACACGATCCACCAGCAAGCTCAAGATTCTTTTTCTTGATTGGTTACCAAAAGCTCAGAACCTCTTGGCATAGGTGCTTTGGGTTTTTAAGTCCAATGTGTGTTTAACTTCATTTCAAGATATCTGCAAACTTCATGCTTGCTTACACTGAAGAGGATTTACTATTTCAGTGCCCGTTACCTCATCCTGAAGGGATCTTTTTGGAGCTCGTTGCTGCCCCTTTGTGTTTCTAACCACCCTAAATCTTTCGATAAACTTCAGTAATATGCTTCTACCAACACCATCAGCTTCCAGGTCTTACCTGTGGAATCCCCAAAGATCCCTGGTTAGATTTAATCCTTTGCCACCATTGCATCCACACACCACTGTACAGCATGGGATGTTTGCCATTTGAGGTGGTGAGAGGCCAGTCAAATACTAGTCCAAGGGGAGAGGTAGCAGAGTCCTCAGAATCCCACTGCAAGCAATCTGCACCACATTTTGCAGATACATTGTTTGTGTCTCTGCTGGCTTGCATTATGTATTCTAAAAGAGGTTGAGATAAATGCCGCTAGGACAGCCTCTTGTCACATTGTTACAAATACTTGGTGACTTGTGCAACCTGAAGATGTGAACAAGCTACTGCACCTGAAGCATGCCACAAAGGTACTGCACCAGGGTCCCCAACCTGCGGCCCACAGGCTACATGTTCCCCCCCCCCAGCTCTCTTTGTGCTGCCCTGCAACCTGCTTGTTTACTGCTATCACCCTCAAGGCATTTTTCTCTCAGACCCACACTGTTCTTTTTGCTTCAAGTAGCTCCATCTACTGCTGATTTTCCTGTCCCTTTCCCACAAAAAAATACAATAGTAACATGGTTTCTTCTGGTCTCCGTGGGTCCTTCTGTAAGCCTTCTCTTGGTCCTATCCTCTGTACTAGCATTTTGGCCTGTGTGTGTGTGTGTGTGTGGGTGGGTGGGTGGTTGTGTGGGTGTGTGCATGCTCGTGCGCATGCGCGCTTTAGCAGAGCTCAGGTAGAGTACCTCTACCGTTCAGCTTTTTCACTCCCCCTCTCCATGTAGGATCATATTGAAGGC